AACCTCAGCTTAGCCTGTTAGGCTTTGCGCTAGTGCCGACACTATATTACCTTATATGTATTAGCTCAGCGCCAGCGCGGCAAACAAGCTAAAAACTAAGGTCCTCCATCCATATTTTCAGTTGCAGGCTGAGTAATTTTTGCGTTCCCTACTCTGTCATGTGGAATGTGAATACTTTTGACACATCTGCTTATGGAACAGGCAAATTTCAAGATGACAATGCCAGGATTTATGGGGCTGGAATTCTGAAAGAGTGGTTCAGGGAGCATGGGACTTCATTTGCTCACAAGGATTGGATCCACAGAGTCCAAAGAGAATCTGTGGGATGTGCTGGAGAAGGCTTTGTGCAGCGTTCAGACTCTACCGTCATCAATGCAAGACTTTGGGGGGCAAATTAATGCAACACTGGATGGAAATAAAGCTTGCAACATTGTAGAAGCTTATTGAAAGAATGCCACAGCAAATGCATGCCATAATCAAGTCTAAAGGTGGTCCAACAAAATATTAGTGTGTGAACTTTTTTCTTGGCCTGTCAGTGTTTTTATCCACATTTTCCCTTCTGGGTTACAAGGATCACTGGTGCCTATGTCCCGCGGTCACTGTGCAAGAGTCAGGGGACACCCTGGATTGTTTGCAAGTCCAACAGAACCACATAGAGACAAACAAGACAAATAAACATTCACACTCACTCATTCACACGCAAACACAAGGAGAACATGTGAATGCCACACAGAAATATCTCTGTCCCAAACCGGGTTTATATTTTTATAAAGACGATCTAGAAGAGTATCTTATCAGGATGCTGCATTCAGTCCAGAGCTTTACATTTCAGCTTTATTTAAAGATATCAGCTGAAATGTATGAACACAACAAGAATGTTTCTGGATCCACAAATAGCATAATTTTCTCTGCTCTCCCCCTCTTTCCTCTGCAGGCGAGCCCACACTGTGACAGTGCTATTCATTCTGACCTGTGCACTGGTCTACGTCACATTGTTGGAAGAGACTCCTCAGGACACAGCGTACAATACCAAAAGGTCAGCTGGCTGCATTTGTCACTTCCACTGTTTCCAGCAGGTTGACCCTGCAGGACATTGAAGGCAGAACAAAAACATTCCACTGTAACCACAGGAGCCTTTTGATTGGATTATGTTTAATGATTATAAAAGCAGTTCATCACAACAGAAAACTAATTTGCTCCCATGAGAAATAATGTGTTGACAGCTTTAATGAGCCAGCTGGTGCAAAGTATTCCCCCTTTAGCATATAATATGGAAGCACATTGTAAATGCATTTGTCAGCCTCTTTATGGGATGTGTCACAGTAACATTCAAAGCCAAATAAAAAGGTTACACATTCAACCGGAGTAGGAGCCAATAAACATTTTTACTATCTCACTGTTTGGTGTAAAGCTGCAGAAACGTGTGTAAGTTGTGATTTAAATTAGAGCAGTGTTAATCTTGAACCCAGCTGGCATCTACAAATGAGTTAAAAAATTAAACATCAGTGGCCATGAAAAAAACTGCGTATAGAAAACCTGGTCACCATTATGTTACTTTCATGTACCTTACAGCAGTTTGTGGGCTATCTGCCAACTGACTTATGAGTAAATCCGCATCTCTTGTTTGTGCCAGTACCTGAAGGAGGTGTTAATCTCAGGAACAGGCTTTCAAAGGGCTATACTACCATATAAACAAAACATTTGAATAAAATCAAAATGAGAGCATTGAAGAAGTGAAACGCAGCAACAAATTGCATCAGGTTGACATTGGTTTTGTTGTTTCAGGACTCCCGAGTTCTCATTACTTCTGCTGCATGACTGGTGTCTTTGTAAAGCTGCAGAATGAATTTGTAGCTGACGTGACCTTTATTTGAACTGCATGATGGTGAAGAAGCTGAACATATAAGCTGACTAAAACCTTTTCCACATATCTGTAAAAGCAGAAGCATCTAATCAGAGCCATGTGCACGCTGAAGTTGTGCTTTTTCTGTTTGTGTAATGGTTGCTCATGTTTTGGACACTGATTAAGATTGCTGAGGAAAGCCAAGCAGAGTCGAGCTGCACTAACGATGTGTGTGTTTGTGTGTTGTCTGTGAGAGATTATAAGAAGGTTCTTAACAGGATTTGCTTCCGTCAGCAGAGTCCAGCTCTTCGGGGTAAACATCCAAGCTCTTCTGTAACAGAGCAAACACACTTACACGCTTACAGGGAAAATTTTATGCATTCTTTCTTTTTTAAATTATATTTTTCTATATTCTTGAGTTAATCTCAGCATAGAGAATCTGATTTTGATTCAATTCAGTTCAAACATACTTTATTGATCCCAGAGGGAAATTAGGTAATTTTCTAACATTTATCTGCAAATAATTTTACTTTTACATGTATGTAACCGCAGAGGACTCCTACAGAGTATCACAAAAGTGAGTACACCCCTGACATTCCTGCAGATATTTAAGTGTATCTTTTCATGGGACAACACTGACAAAATGACATTTTGACACAATGAAAAGTAATCTGTATGCGGCTTATATAACAGTGTAAATTTATTCTTCCCTCAAAATAACTCAATCTAAAGCCATTAATGTCTAAACCACCAGCAAAAAAAAAGTGAGTGCACCCCTTAGTAAAAGTTCCTGAAGCGTCAATATTTTGTTTGGCCACAATTATTTACCAGAACTGCCTTAACTCTCCTAGGCATGGAGTTTATCAGAACTTCACAGGTTGCCACTCCTCCATGACAATATCACAGAGCTGGCTATTTGAGACTGGGCTGTGCCCAAATTCAAAGGCTGGCTCCTCTGAAGGCCGAACTTGTCAGCTGCTTATGTCACGGTGCTGCGCCGGAGGCTGTCTAAATCCGAAGACTCCTCCGACGCGGCTGACCGATGCGTCATTCTTTTGCCCTGATTTGAAGGACTGGTCCGATGGGTCCTTCTTGGCCCACCACATCTCTTAATGCATTGTGGGTCGACCGGAGATTTTTTTATCTGCTAGTAATAGAGGATGAAGCGAAAGAAAGGAATACAGTTTAAATGAAAATCTGGTGGCAAAAAAATTAAGTTTCAAGCGGTTGTGTTGTTAATACTTTATCATTTGTATAGACATGCTTTTAAATAATTTTGTCAGAAAAAAACTAACTTATATAGCGAAATAAACATGCATCTAATGCAGGTCCCTTAGTTCTTCAAATATTGCCTTTAAGTTAATTTTGTTGTTTTGTGATATTAATAAACTAACTTATATAGCGAAATAAACATGCATCTAATGCAGGTCCCTTAGTTCTTCAAATATTGCCTTTAAGTTAATTTTGTTGTTTTGTGATATTAATAACGTTAATATATCGATATTTTTCTAATTTTGATCTAGTTTTGCTTCTGTTTAGCATCGTCTCGATTGCTAGGCGACGTGGCATACGTCAGGGTAAGGACGGGAGGCTGGACCATCCAAATTCACAGCCACTTTTTTCCGGTCTTCACAGTATACCAAGGATCCGGCCCACATAAACCGGGCAGGCCAGGTCTTTCGGAGGACCCAGTCTCTGTATTTGGACACAGCTTTTGTGTTTTTCCATCTTCTGCCTGAGGATGCCCCAAAGGTGTTTTATTGGGTTCGGGTCTGGAGACGTGCTTGGCCAGTCCATCACCTTTACCCTCAGCCTCTTCAACAAAGCAGTGGTTGTTTTAGAGGTGTGTTTGGGGTCATTATTATGCTGTAACACTGCCCTTTGACCCAGTTGCCGGAGGGGACCATTCTCTGTGCTTCAGTATTTCACAGTTATGTTTGGGCTATAAATCAGTTTAATCGATTAATTCGAATTTGCCATCTATAAAGATTTAATTTTGGGAAAATCTGGATTTTTTTTCCCACCAGTTAACTCTTCTTCTGTAGTTCAGAGGTCCCCCCACCTGTCTCTCAAAATGCTTGGTACATGATATGACAATATGGCAGCTGGCAAAGAGGATCTACTTCCCAAAAAGGCAGTGTTTCTTCAGTTACTGTATCTGGAACTGGTTAGGTTTTGCAATCTTGGACTTGGAGCAACAAAATCTGTTTGAAGGTTCTTGCTACAAAAAGCAGGAGTACAACAAATTAGTTTGAACATCAGAAACAGAGGCACTCTGTTAAAAGGGAAACAAATTGATTTAAAATCAAATTTGGGATGAAAAACATCGGAGATTTTTTTAGGGCCGTATCGCCCATTGTGTCCTTCAATGTAATGTTACCCCACAACACCTGCTGCACTCATGCAGCCCCAGACCATGACATTCCTAGCACTGTGCATGACTATAGGCATCACACACTTATCTTTGTACTCCTCATCTGATTGCCGCCACACATGCTTGAGACCATCTGAACCTGTATGAATCTTACATGATTCCAGCAATCCATGTCTTTTGTTAACACGTCTTCAGCGAACTGTTTGCGGGCTTTCTTGTTGTACCGACTTCAGAAGAGGCTTCCTTCTGGGGTGACAGCCATGCAGACCAATTTGATGTAGTGTGCAGCGTATGGTCAGAGCACTGACAGGCTGACCCTCACCAGACGGAAAACTCAGACAGACAGATGGAAAACTCAGACAGACAGATGGAAAACTCAGACAGACAGATGGAAAACTCAGACAGACAGACAGATGGAAAACTCAGACAGACAGATGGAAAACTCAGACAGACAGACAGACAGATGGAAAACTCAGACAGATGGAAAACTCAGACAGATGGAAAACTCAGACAGACGGAAAACTCAGACAGACGGAAAACTCAGACAGACGGAAAACTCAGACAGACGGAAAACTCAGACAGACGGAAAACTCAGACAGACGGAAAACTCAGAC